GCAAATGAACTGTGTAAGGCGAGGGCTGGAGCTGTATATGCATCCTTGCTGAGTAGTACTATAGGATTGTAAAAGCTGACAGGCTTGTTCTTTTCAAGCTCCGTGTCCCCAGGGAAAAGGCTGTGTATTCTTGTTCTTCAAACACCTAAAAAGTTTGTTCTAGACTAACTGTTGCCGTTTATAGTCTATGTTGCAAGGAATAGATCTTGGTTTGTTTTCTTTTTTTAAAAAAAAAAAAAAGCTAAACCCAGGCAGTTGATCCCTAAAGAAGTGAAGGGCTCAGGGTGGAAGAGGTGCTGTGGGAGGAGCTGATAGAGGTGAGGGAAATGCTGCTCAGGCTCTCATCAGATCTCTTTGTCCTTTTCCCATCCCCTCTTTCCCCTCCAAGGTTAGGAAAGGGCTGGGGGGTCTTGCAGCCATCCCGTCCCAGCCTCCTGGTAGGGAGAGGTGAGAAGCTCAGTGGTGGGGTTTGGATGGCCCTTTGGTCAGGAATGAGGATTGTCAATGGCAGCTGGGGACACTTTATAATGCAGGCAGCACCCTCCAGCTCCAACTGGAGACCTGTGGAAAAAGGGACAGTTCCCATTGCTCCAGAAGAGCAAAAAAAAGTAGAATGTTGCAGGTAAAGTTATGACAGAAACACAGGGTTGGTTTTTTAAAATGAGAAACTCACCTTATTGCTGCTGCCCCATTTCCTTCTGGTGGTCTCTGCTCAGGTGGGGGATCTCACCTTACCCCCATCCTTTAATTGCCTTTTTTGTTTTTTTTTTTTTGTTTTTTTTTTGTGGTTTTGTTTGTTTGTTTGTTTGTTTTTAATTGTTTGAAGATCTTTACCTGTGTTCCTCCCTAGTTTTCCATCTATCTTTTTTCCTCTTTTCACTTTTTGTGGACTTCTGGGTCATCCTCACCCTTCCCTAGGGTTCTCTTGTCAGTTGTTCAGGTGATCATTGAGGGGCAGTGCTGAAACCCCACCAGTCTCCATCTGGCTGAAAGCACCCCCTTGAGGAGGAGAGCAGATAAATCTGGCCAGATTTTCTAATCTGCAAGGCAGAAAATCCCCCAAACCCCCAATGGCCTTACCATGAGTAGCTGTTTGCATTTAAATTTCATTTCCCCGAATTTCATGTTTGCTTGTTTTTTACTTTCAGGATGGCTACCAATCTCCTTTCAGCGCTGAATTAGGGAAACAGAGGATACAGTAGCAGCTAAGCTCACCTATTAATCAAATTAATATGTCTTGGTGAACCCATTCAGAGCACCGTGGTGCTGGCTCTTGTGATTTCATAACATCTCATGACATTCAATATTTTTGTTAAAGCTCTGCTTCTCAGATTCATGTGATGATAGGAGAAGCTGAGGAGGAATTAGCAATAAAGTATCCAGAGCACCTGGCTGTAGAGACTAATTGGCAAATGGGACCCAAGTGCACCCTAAAGCCTCAGAAAACCAGAAGGCAAATAAAAAGCACCTGCAAACAACTGTTGTTGGCTGAGCTTGCTGGAAAGATGCATGAAATGTGCTTGACAGGCTGCTCCTGTGGACAGGAGCTGTTGAGTGCTGACCTCGAGTTCTCCAAAAATGCCGCATTATTTTTCTGGGCAGCCCCTTGTGGGAAGCTGGGAGCCGGCAGGGGGTGCAGGGGTGGGTGCAAAGTGGGGCGAGAAATTATCACAGAATCACAGAACATGCTGAGTTGGAAGGGACCCCACAAGGATCATTGGGTCCAGCTCTTAGCCCTGCACCAGGACCATCCCCAAGTCACACCACGTTCCTGAGAGTATAATCCAAACACTCCTTGAACTCTTGTCAGGCACCCACAAGAGCTGTGGAGCGGGAAATCTGACTCTCCAACCACCCAGGGTGGGTTGTAATGAAACCTGATAGAATGATATATCCCTGACAGAGGATTTTGAGGTGCTCTCCATGTTACCAGACCCTTTGACTTCAAACACCTGTGTGGGTTTTCCCAGCAATCCAGAGCACACACCCCCCTTTCTCTTTGGACGTGCAGCAGCTGGGAGGTGCCAAGAGGAGTCAGAACAGCTCGGACTCAGGGGCCACAAAAGTTCCTGTGAAGTTTGGGAGCACGAGGCCACTTGAGAGGCTCTGCCTTGGTGCCATTTCCCCTGGGCATCAGCCAACCCTGAGCTGGACACACAAGGGTGCAGAGTGAACAGGCACTGGGTGCATTGCTCATGGAAGGGAACCAGATTTTACCAATTTTCCACTTTCTGTGGTGAGGACCTGTTTCAGCCAATGCTGCTCCTCGCTCTTCGGTGGGGAGTGCATGAAAAAAAATCTCAGAATCATAGAAAGGCATAGGTTGGAAGGGATCTTAAAGATATCTAGTTCCAATCCCCTGCATTGGGCAAGGATGCCACCTTCTAGATAAACCACTGGCTGCCATTCCTTCCCAAGGGGTTGTGCTGGGCAGGGGAAACAGTGCATAGCCCCTACCTACCCCCTGAGAAATTACAGTGTTAAAATATGCTGCTAGCCAAAATATGGCAGAAAATTGAGTTTCACAAACCCCTTGACGTGAAAACTTCAAAAATATGCGGGATATGTGGCAGTAAGACAGACACCTGATAAACAGCTGGCCATAAAGGCAGACTATCCACAGACCAAGGAGGTGACTGTGAGACTGGTGGAAGACCTCTCCTGCCATTCCTGTTCTGCTGTGGAAATGGCTTGAGCTGTTACCAGGAACAGTTTGCAAAGGCTTACACAAAGCCACTGTCAGAAATAACTTGAATGCAGAGAGGAAAAAATTGCTCGAGAGTTCTTTGGGGAAGGATTAGGTTTTAAATAATTGCCATTTATAAGTTAATTTCACATCCTTTTGGAGCTTGGCCTACTAGGATTTGAAGGCTTGACTGGAGCTGGCAGCAGAGAGGGTGGGCACTGATTCCAAGGCCTGACTGCCAAGAAAGAGGAAAATATTAAGAGTAAAAATTGGCAATGCAAAAAAAAAAAAAAAAAAAAAGCCAGGGAAATGTAGGGAAATGAGATTTAGTTTAGGAAAATTATTGTTCTCTGAGCCACAGACTGATTTTATGGTTGGCATATTAGTCACAGTCTTACATGAGCTTGGCCTTTGTAATCAATGTCTGAAGGGAAACTGTTGGAGAACACAGCTCCCAACGCTTTAATAGTTTGTGAATCCATGATTTAGTTATTTTTAATCATGGATTTTTTTTTTTTTTTAATTTAAATGCATACCAAGGTCTATTTAAAGCGGTGGGGAGACTCCTCTCCAGCTTTAACAACTTTGAATCGAGCCCTGTAAAAATAGATGCTACGTGCCTCAAGGCTTCTGCTGCAGCCTTGCCAGCTGAGTCCAAGCAGCAAAGCAAGAACCACGAGTCTTCTATTTCTTAATCCCAACTCTTTTGGATCACGAGTTACCTGGGCCTAGCAAAGCCCATGTGACACTTCTCAGTCCTTTTTCCCAGTGCTGGATTAGACCTGAGGGATCTGAGCTTCTCTGAGGGGCTGAGCACACACATTCCCCTTGTGATTCCCTGGGCTGGTTTGGAAGCAGAGAGGTGCCCTCCTGCCCAGGAGACACTTTGCACAGGGCCATACAGGGGAGGAACAGCTCATCCCCAACAGGAAAATGTGTGTGGTGAAACGAAAAATACCCAGGACACATGGGAGAGCAGTGAACCCAGAGTGCAGCCCTGTTGCAAGGGCTTCTCCTCCTCTCAGGGCAAGTCAAGCCATTGCTAAACCAGGGAGCGCTGGATCAGAGGACAGCCTGAGTCACGGAGCAGCTGCAAAGACATCTCTGCAGACCCATGGCTGGCAAATCACCTCTGCTGGAAGCTGTGGGGACCAGGCCAGATCTCTGCCTGATCACCAGCTATCAGGTAAAACCACACACCAAGAGACTGGAGATGCAGACGGATTCCAGAAAAACTGATGAAAACAGATTGTTAGACAGCCTGATGGATCTCAGTGAAGGACATGTTTTTCTTTCTGGAAGAGAGCCATGATGTAGAAATAGACTGAAACCAAGAAAGAGGGCTGTAGCCGTAGCTGAGGCTGTATATTTAAACATTTTTGCTGTCTGACCATCTGGGCCTGCAGCTAAATTTACCTACAAATTATTTTCAATGTTTCTACATCTTGAGAGGTAAAAGGTGCACTTGATACTTTATGCCAGGAGGAAAGGCAAAATAAATGTCCAGGGCCAGATTTCCCCAGTATCAGGCCTGTGCATGTGGTTTAGAATGTCCAACCTGTCTTGTCAACCTTCAAGCACCCCTGACTTGAACCCCAGGCTGGATGCTTTGGATCTTGACTTGCATTCTTGCTCTGTGTAACACAACTCAGTACAATGATTGGCAATGCAAATGCCTCACATCTTTTTTCTGCCTTTATGCTGTTGCTGTTGCCGATCTCTTTCTCAAACCATAGATACAGGAAGGCACTTTCCATGAGGAAAATACTTATGGGTGATCCAGAAAGCCCAGTTTCTGACCCAGCTCAGTCAAATTTGCTTAACAAAGCACACCTGCACACCTGGATCCCAGGAGGAAGCCCCAAACCCAGGTGAGGTCTGGCAGACCCCTAGGCATCAGGGAAGGTTTTGTGTGGGCCTCTGACACCCCACAGGGAGCTCACATGGGGGGACTGGCAGGTTCTGGATGAGAATGTTGTGTTTTGCCACTTTTGCAACTTCTACCACACCTGTATCTAGCTCTGGGTTGACCACTGCTGTGAAAGAAGTCCACCACTGCAAATTTTAAGTGCCTGAGTAACTCCTTTGGGGACTGGCTTAACAATTTCTCCTTTGAAAGGCAAATGAATGAGGATGGCTGTACTTACTGGTCAGAACTGAGACCCCTCCCATGCTCTTGAGGGGTCCCCAGTCGTGTACAGCGGAGTACTGAGTGTTCAACAAGTGTTGGACTCAGTGTAAACCAACGTCTCATCCTCTGCCTGTGTTGTTTCTCCTCTTAAGGCAGTTTTCCCATCTGAATGGTTTTGTGCAATTGGTGCCTCTCCTCTTCTTTAGGGAGAAAAATGTGAAAGTATCTGCTGAACCATCATATCCTAGAGCTGATTTTTTTTCCCAGATCTTAAACTAAAAACCCATATTAGTCTCCAATTACTGTCCATCAGCTTGGGAAAGACTAGAAGTAATTATATGTGGGGATTAGAAATATTAAATCTCAAGAGACATGGGAGGACCTTTCAGCTTTTTAACGCTGTTGATTGCATCTTTCTGTTCTGTGTGCCATAAAAGAAATAAAATTTAAATATTTTATGAAAGCAATCCATGATGGGTGATGGTACAGAACTGATCCCATGGTTCAGTTTATCTATGATTTTTAGGAAATTAAAAATAGCCATAGGGAAAGTCTTAGATGATTCCATCCATCCCACATTATGTACAAATCATTTCAATCAGAAAGGCTTCCTTGGTAACAGAGCTCCTCTATCTAGATAGTTGTGAGCATCCTGCCTTCAGAGGGATGGAAAACTCTTCCAAGGCCAAAGTACGTGAATGAGATTTATTAATCCCGTAGCCCCTGTCACTCATGATAACACTAATAATCCATAAACCATACATCATGCTGAATATCCCACGTAACAAATGCATCTCTGGGAGATGGACAATAAATCCTGCGTGCACTCTGCTCCCTCCTCCTCCGCCTGGATGAGAAAGCCCCAGATTTGGTGCAGCTCTTTCCATCCGCCCTGGTTCCTCCTCGCTTCCCGCACTGGCAGGGGGCTGACACTGCCCCAGTCCTTCCCAGGGGGCCGCACTCCCTCAGTATTTGTCGCTGTATTTGCAGTCGGGGTAGCGGTAGGCGAAACGGGAATCGCAGGACCGCAGAGGTTTCAGGATCTCCGCCAGCTCGGCAATGGCCTCGTTGACACCCTGCTCGTCGGTGAGGCCGCTGGCACAGTGCTGGAGGAAGCTGTCTATCTTCTCCTGCACGGGCTGCAGGAATTTCCCCTCCAGGAGCTTGGGCAAAAGCTCTTGACACACCATGACGAGGCTGTGCTTCTCCCTGATGGAGTCACAGGACACAAACGCAGACTGGCAGTCCACAGTCAAGCAGCTAAATATATCTTTGTGCTCCTGCTGGCCATCGATCAGCTGGCTCCCTGCTGGAGACAATTAAACCAGTTGTTGGAAACATGGCAGTGAGCTCCTGGGTAATCACAGATGTTCGTTCCTCTGTACTAACACTGGATTTGTTATTATCTAAAGGATGTGGGGCACCTTTCACCACAAATTACTCTGTGCTGCAGCTGTATATGGGCCAACTTTCTCACTCCTGAAATATGTATATTTTTCTGAATGACAGAGCTCTGCAGAACTGCCTGACAGAGGAATTGGAGAAGAGTCTGTCAAGTCAAACTGATGCAGAAAAAATGAGGACTGGAGTACAAACCTGAAATGTGGAGTTCCTACAAAAACTGCCACAAATAAGCAGCCCCATAATTTTTTCCATGTTACCCAAATCATTAACTTGCAACACCACCTCATCCAGCTAACAGTAATACATGCTGGGACAAGAAAAGGAAACCCAGTGGAATATTTTCTGACAGCTGCTTCTGAATATTTGAGACCAGCTCAGCTGAATGTGTGAGCTGAGGAAAGGCCTTTTGAAAATTTGTACATTCAAAATTAAACTCTTAAATTATTGGAAGAATTGTCTTTGACTAGCTCTGCTTTGTGGATTAGACCATGAATAGTAACACTTAGTAACCCTTGATTTTATGTGAAAATGACAAAAGGGAGATTTTGTTGTTATGATAGTAATAATTACCATTATTATTGTGATAAATGCACATAAATAGGGTCCAATTGAACCCAATACTTAAAACAAATGAAATTATGAAATTTCTACTTGCAGTTACTGACATTTGTGTGGCAAAAGTTTTAAAAGGGGTGGTTCAGGACAAATTCAAATGCAAGTGTTGAGCGCTGTGTGCACTGCAAGCTGCTGCCAGCTACAGAGGGGGCCAGTCACCAAATCACTGACCGCACAAACAAAATACCTTCCTGACTCTGAGCCAGGACGGCAGGACCTGCTGTTGGTAAATCTCTCCATGAACTTTTTCATTATTTAATTTATTAAAAAAACCCAAAAACCAAAAAACAAACAACCCAGCAGCAGAGTTGAGCGTAGCAGGTGACAGATTTGCTTGCCCTGCCTCGATGAGCCCTCCCTCGACAGACGCGCGGCCGCGGCGCCTGCTGAGTACCTTCCTCCCTGTCGATGATCCCCAGCGTGCTGGCATCCCGGATGAGCAGATGCCCGTTGCTGAACACGCCGAAGGTGCCAGCGTCCACGTGGGTGAAGTAGAAGAAGTAGTTGAGGTCGTTGGTGCCCATGGAGCGGAGCACGGCGAGGAGCTGCAGGGCCAGGTCGGCGGCCACCTCGGGGGCCGCGCTGTAGAAGTCGTGCAGGGGTCGGGTGCTGGCGCTGACCACCAGCCTCCCACAGGAGCCCAGGTACCGTGGGAAGGGCCACCCCTCCACGTCGGGGAAGATCTGCCAGGGAGAGAAGGATCGCAGGGGTTATCACTGCCCTCCAGCCGCTGTGCTCTGCCCGTGGACCCAGCTCCCTCCAGTGCTGTGCTTTGGCTTCTAAACCAGCCCGAAACCCTTCCTCACCCCATCCTGCCCCAGCAGCTGGAAAAGACACTGCTCTGTCCTGGAATAGCTATGATGCTTTTATTTCCTTTTTTTTTCTTTTTTTTCGTTCTCTTTTTGTAATGAAGGAAGAATCTGACATTTCAAGGCTTATTCTGAGAGGGAAACTAACTGGAAAGTCCAAGATAATAATGGGTTTCAAAATTATGCAAATTTTAGCTACAGAACATCTAATTTTAGGTGTCTTTTATGGGTCCCTCATGAACACTGTGTAGCTGAAGTCACAGCTCGGAGGTGAGGTGGGGCTCAAGCAGTTTTTGCTAATTTGTAAGAACTACCTGGCTCTTTTGCAGGAGACTTTGCAGTCTCAGGAACAGAAATGCTGGGTGTTTGCTATGGTGGGGACACCTGGGCTGGGCTCCCTGCAGCTCGTGCAGTTATCCCTGGTGGAAACTAAACTGTATGACTGCTGGGCTAGGCCAACACAAAGCTTTCTGTGATCTGCATTGTGACTTGTCCATCTACCCATGGCCCTGGGCTCTGCCAAGGCATGATGAACTTGTCCAGTTTCATTTTTAAGGTTGCTTCTCCTTCCTGCTGTGAAGGTATTTTGAGCATCAATGTAAAATCAAGCCATTCCTTGGCATATTTTTTTCACCTCTATAGGCTGCATTCCCGTATCTTTAGAGTGCTAAGAGCCACAGCCTCAGGTCCCAGTGAGCCATGGCTGGGATGGCTGAATGATCCTCAGGAGCCTCCTGGAGCATGAGCACCATCTCCCCTCCCTGGGACAGGGTAGAGCCCCATGTGCTGCTGAGGGCAGTGGTGACAAGGGGCCAGAGACAGAGGATGCTGCCAATGCCTCTGTTCTTCATGAAATCATAAAGGGTTGCAAGAAACAGCAAAGAGGACTAAAGGTGTGCCAGTGTGGGGAAAGGTGAGGATACTCCTTTGGAAACACAAGGAAAGAGAGGAGCCACTTGCCAGGTACATCAGCCAGGGAACAGGGGAGGGGTGTGAGACCTCCCAGGTCACTGCCTTCACATCCAGAGTTCAGCTGTATTTGGGATTCTGCCCAACACTTCTGCAAAGCTGCACTTTGCCATGGAGCTGGTCACCAGGGGCATGCAAATGGAAAACACAGCACTGGCACACGGAACATGTGCTCCCCAAGTCCATGTTCAACATCCATGCTGCATCCTGGTGCTCCCACTCCAAAGCATGCTCTTCCCCTTTCATAAACAGACTGTAATTTTAAGTAATACATTAGCAATGCAAACTTAGCACTGTGAAGTATCAGGGATGTGTAAAACCCTGGCTCTCACTACAATACCAGCCTGGGTTCTGATTTATTTAAGGATCTAGGCATTCCTAGCTCTCCAAAGCTTCATGGGCTGATGCAAGGAAAACTGCAGGACTCTGCTTGGCTTCAGCTGTCCAAACCCATAGAAGAAACACACTTTGTGAAGGCCAGAGGGTGGCCCAAAGGCCAGGGCTGGGACTCATCCACAGCTGGGGGGCTGGTGCACACCTCGTGGGAGGATTTGCTTGTGGGTGCTTGTGGGGTGGTGCTCCAAGGTGGGGCAGGGTGGTACCTACCTGTAACAATATGGGGTGTGAATTCACTGCCAGGGTGTACAACAGGCGTAGCTTGTCCCGGTCGGTGAGATGGTCCATGTAGATGCTGCCAGCATCCGGCACCTCGGCGTAGCGCCGCACTATCCTGTCCAGGAGCCGCTGGGATGGGCAGCGCAGCATTGGGCTGGACAGGCCCTGGTGAGGGGGAAAACATGGCAAAGATGTCTATTTTCCAGCCTGAGATGTTACAATGTGCTTGGACCATGCTGGGGGGTACAGGCACCTCTGTGCTCTGCCTGCTGTGGCACAGCTTCGAAGGGGACGGGCACACCGGGGGATGCCAACAGCAAACCCCTCCTGGGAAAAGACCTGTGCCACCCAAAAATTCACAACTCAGGCTTCCAGAATGGCTCCAAGTTTTCATGGCACAGATGTGGGCACTGCAAACCTCATATGTCCCTAGTTGAAAGCACCACGTGTGTCCACACTGCAGGCCTCCTCCCTCCGCCCGAGTTTCCAGCCCTGGCATCCCAGCTCCCTGGTGGAGGCCCTCCTGTTGTTAAAACAGTGAGTCACTTCCCTCATTAAATAATCTTCAGATCTCTTCACTATTTGCTTAACCTGTGAGCAGCTTTCTTGGAAATACTATTTGCTAAGGTCAGTAAACATGCTTTAAAAGTGCAAATAAACACTCTGTGTGAGTACAAGCACAGGATATATTCTCTCTCTGATAAACTCACACATTAACTAGCAAAACCAAATTTGAATAGCCTGTGTGTATTTTTTGTAAATACCACCAACAAATAGAGAGCCATTGGGCTAATGGAGTCAATTATCACTGTATTTCACCGTTCAGATTGGGAAGTTTGGCTTGTAAAACTGCACAGGCAATCAGTGGCTGGGATAAATGGCAGGGAAATTCATACTTTCATAGTAAAAAATTAGCTGCTTTTTTTTTTATTTTTTTTTTTTTAAATTTAAATTTAAAGCTGGTCTTCCTTAATAACCAAGCAGAGCAGATGTATGGAGGGTTGCCCACAGCTGGTACAGAAGCACTGCCCTGCCATGCCTCTGCTGGGAAAGGGAATCAAGTTTTTTTAAGCCCTTTTATTAAAAATAATCCCACCAGCCAAATATACTCTTTTGGATTTTCTTTATGATTTGCTGGTTAGGAGATGTTTTTCAGATAAAAGGGCACAGGAGCTCACGTCGCTCCCTGCCATCCTTCATGCTGAGAGCAAAGATTTGACTCAGCATCTCTCCGAGTCATTTGGTATCTCTGAGGTAGGTCCCTCTCAGCCCTTCCTGTGCGAGCTGTTCATTTGGCATAGAACACTTTATTATCCAGCCACGACAAAGAAATAAAGAAACATGGAAAGAAGGACCGTGACGTTTTCCCAGTTGGAGGTGGAAAGGAGGGACTGGATGTCCCATGTCTTCCTCTGTATCCCTGCTGGCCTCAGTGAGGTCCCAACCACCCCTTCCTTGGCCATCAGTTGCACAGAACAAGCCCTGAATGCCAATAGCTGGTCAAAACTACCTGAGAAACTCAACCCCAACTGAAGTGTGGTTGTTTCACATCAACCAAAAAACCCTTTTTCCCCAAAAAAGAATAAAACATTTGTCAAAAATAATTCTCCCCTGTTCTAGTTACACCCCTCTCCTCTGGTGTGGCCTTATCAAGGAAATACTTTCTCAATTAGTTGTCTAAAACCATAAAAGGGGGGTGGAGGGTGGGTTTGTTATGGGTTCCTGTCTTTCAGCTCTTTCAGGAAGATTGTGGCTCACTCTTTCCCTTTGGAGGAGAAGTGAGAAAAAATCAGCAGAACAGAACTGTGTTAAGTAAGAGATGAATGGTGGAGAAAGCCTCTTGCAGCTCGTTGTGTATGCGAATATTTGCACCCAAAGTTAGAAAGCCTTGTTGCCTCCAGGAGAAGCTGAGACCCTGAAGAATACACAGTAGGAACAGAAATTACAGCGACAGGGAAGGCATGAAAGGTGTAATTAGGACTTTTCCAGGGTTAGAACTCATCAGCTTAGATGTGGACACACACTGCACATGGTGCTCATGGCTGCTGGTTTCCTGAGGAATCATTTCAGGCACACCAGTGGCAGTGTGTGAGCAGAGGAGCAGGGCTGGGTGCTGCCACTTTTGTATCAACCCTTGGTGCAGCTTTCTATAGCTTAGCTAAGTCCTGATTCACAAAAACTGGACAATGGGGCCTTTTGATTTCGGCTAAGACAGTCAACAGTGTGAAGCTCAGCACCTCCTCGACTGCTTCAGTGGAGTGGGGTCTCCCCTTCCTGCAGACTGATGGAAACATCCCTACAGCAGAAAGGGAGATGGAGTTGAGAAATTGTCGGACAAAAATTGTCAGTGGAAGAAAAATGTGAAGAACACATACTGGAAACACTGGAAATATGGATTTATCTGAAAATATCTTCAGTCCTTTACAGTGTCTTATCAAGCCAGAGAATAAGACCTGACAGACAGCCTGATGTATTGTTTGTGATTGATACAGAAAGCCTTCTTATTTACTTTGACTAAATACCCACGTTTCTATATCTGATAATGAGCAGTTTCTGCAAAGCCTACCTGCAGTCAGCTGTGATTTTCTTCCCCCTACCCCACAGTACGCGGTGCAATTTAAACTCAGTGTGTGCATACATATGCATATGTGGGGCAGACGCACCCAGAATTCACTCTGACATAAAGACAACTCCTGGAAGACAACTTTTCCTGGCTCTGTTTTCTCTTCAACCAGTCCGAGGAGGGATGGCACAGACCAGGAGCACAGCTGCCTCCTGCCCCATGTGCCGCCGCCCGGGTGCAGCTTCACCAAATGAGCAGCTTTAGGGTGGGCTCCAGAAGGAAACACCTGGAGGTTGGAGTCAAAGCACTCAGAGATCCTGGCCATGTGAATACAAGGGTTTCCTTCACTCCCCAGAAGAAAGAAAGTAAGGATGACCTGAGAAGCTATGGGGCTCATCCCCACTGCCAGCAGGTTTAACAAAACATGTCTGACGATGAGGTGCCAGGTCAAAGAGGGCGGCAGATCTGGGAGGCAGCTCTGGGGGCCCCACAGAGCCCATCCTTCCCCAGGATGGACTTGCTAACAGAGGAGTGAGGTGCTGCCCATGTGCAGCAAGCAAAGCAACATGAACTACACTCAGAGGCCAAATAACCAGAGTGATGGCTCGTCTGCCGAGGACAGGCAGAGATGCTGGTCAGTAATTTCAAATGGTCTGGAGAGAGGGACTGCAAACGATGGCTTTTCACCACAGTACTGCTTTCCTGTGTCTGCCTTCAGCATTTTCCAGGCTGTGCTTTGTAGGCAGGGCTGTAAATTCGCCCGGTGGGCGATCTGTGCTGAGACTAACCTGCTTTGTTGTTGCTCTTCCCCTCCAACAGGAAAAGAATGCAGCACAGTTTGAGGTGATGAGCTCCTGGGCAAAGCAGTGGGCGGCTGGGGCTGCCGTGCAGGCTGAGCCCCTGCTAAATCCCGCTCATCTCTGAGGCAGGCTGGATTTCAAGACTGAAGACTTTGCTGCATCCAAGGAAGATTGTCAGTGTGGCGGGTGAAATAATCGCCGTGGCAGGCAGCTCGGCTGATGGCTGGGTCAGGCAGGGCAGGCAGCGTAAAGTGGGAAAACATTACTTCATGGTCTGTCATTTTGATTCAAGCACGCTATGGTTTGTCACAATTCTGTGTCTAGAGGACAAAATCACCTGAGCCCATTAGCTTTCCTCAGTGACTGCTGTATAAGATAAACTGCAGGGAGGGGAGTGCAGACACCGCTGGGTGACTGCAGCTTTGTGGGACAGAGTGGGCATCGTGTCAGCCATCGAGATCCATCTCTGAAAAGAGGGAGGGGAGGAAATAAAACCAGAAGAGCAAGTCTGTAGGTAAGTATTTGCACTGACATACGGCACCCCCCCAAAGAAACAGCCCTCTGAAGAGGCTCATGCTGGGTTATCAACACGGGTCTGCCCAGCAAACAGCACAGAGGGGCAGCGGCGCTGGGCTGGGGTGCAGGCAGAGCTGCTCCTGTGGTTTTTGACTGGGAGAGGACAGGAAGGGTGGCCAGAGAGGAAGGGAACCCCATCTCTATGGGGCCAGACAACTTGGTAGGTCACACTGTAACCTGTGGTGGCTGGGGGGTGTCTCATCTACAAACTCCCTCACACAGTGTGACTGCAATGTTGTTGCTGCTGACTGCTTTTCAATTTAGACCAGTGTGAGACCAGAAGCCATTTTGTAGAGCACATGCCTGATCTTAAAAGTGATTGCTGCTGAAATCTGGAGGTGGGGGAGAAGGTCCCAGGTCCTCCGGATCACAGTGCTTCTCTGTGTATTCAAACCTGCACTCTGTTAGAAGGGATTGATATTCTAATTTAGTTTTCTCTGATTTACAGAAACAAAGGACCATGAAAACATGAGCAGAGCAATCCTGAGGCTGGTGTGCAAATCTCTGGGCCTCCCTGCAGCCTCCTGTGCCCTCTCCAACTAAAAAGCCGCAGGGCTTGCTGAAATGTCCCAGGGAGTTTGTCCCTGGCCACGTCCCCAGTGGTTGGCCCTGAGCTCGCTTCAGAGGGGCCCTGGAGCCAGCTCAGCTTCCCACTGCATCCATGGGTGTGTGTTTGTGTGCTTATGTGTGTGTCTGTGTGTGTCTGTGTGTCTGTGTGTCTGTGTCTGTGTGTCCAGTCCAGCCAGCTCAGCTGGGAGTTCAGACTCGGAGAGGACGGGGTAGGGAAAACTGCACAGCACACGAAGAGCCTTTTAAGGAGAAGGATTTGGGCTCAGCTAATGATTTAACTTTGCAGCAGATCTGAGATACCACAGAGCCACATTTCTCCGGTTACTTTTTCACCCAGCTCAGCAAATGGAAGTTTTAATCTCTTCTTCCCTTTCATACAGCGCTGCTGGGGGAGGCAGCCCAGTTTTGCACAAGCATGTTGGACACTCCAGCAAGGCTGGAGGACCTGGCAGCCCAGTTTGCCCTTCTGCAACCCCCTGTAGCACTGCCTGGGGGGACAATGGTGGCCAGCAGGTGCCTGGGAAGTTTCTGCCTGCCACCCCAAGTAGTTGTCCCTTCCCATGGCCCACAGGCTCAGGTGAGGGATGCTCTGAGTGGGAGTGATAGGAATCTGTCCACTGCTGGTTACCTGAGTTCACCTCAGCATGTTCATTCTCTCCCCAAGAGATTACCACAGATTTCACTCCCTGATTTTCCCTACCTGTGTGCTACTAATTGCCTCAGTTTACCTCAAGATGTTCATTCTATCTGCTACAGATCACCTCAGATTTTACCCAACAAATTTTCCCAGCATTTCTGCTAAATTAACTCATTTTTACCTCAAAATGATCATTCTCTGCCCTATAGACTACCTCAAGTTTAATCCCAAAATTTTCCTGCCTATCCACTACATATTACCTCAAATTGTTCTTTTTTTCTTCTTTGCCTCAGATTTTACTCCCAAACTTTCCCTACTTGTCCACTGCTGATTGCCTAATTTTTACCTCAAAATGTTCTTTTCTCTTCTGTACAGATTACCTCAGATTTTACCACAAATTTTTCCCTACCAGTCCACTACTGATTAACACAGTTAATGCTCATTCAGTCTGCTAGAGATTATCACAGATTTTTATCAAGATTTTCTCCCAGCTGCCTCTCCTGAGGTTACTAGACAAAGCACAGTGTAGCTTTTACCCAAAAAAGATGTTTCCCTGTCAGGCATGTGCCACTCAGGAGGGTACTGGCTTCAGGGGGACCTGCTGTGCCTGACTGTCAGTGATTTGGGTGAATCCATCTCTGCGCAGCCCAGGCAACTAAAACTAAAGTCCCTTTTTCACAGCCACTTTTCTCTTGGAAGAGGAAGAAGTACTGGAATAATCCTTCTTTGCCTCTCAGGATCTCGTTTAGTGTATATCAAACCTCCTCCCTGCCCCTCTCTGGTGGTTACTGAAATGTTTTGCTGTTGTTTTGATGGGGTGAGGGGGGTGCCCTGTGCCACAGCTGCCCATCTACCTGGAGGCAGCAACCTCCTCCATGCAGCGTGGCTGTCCTGGCTTCGCCTGTGACACCCCAGGACTGTGACAGAAAGGACAGTGTGCTTCTTAGTGCCTGAGGTCATTTGCTATTGATGGCAGGAGGATGAGTAATCGAGGCTCTGGCTCTGACTGCCTGTGCTGCTTGGAGGGGTCCATGCTGGCTTGATCCCCAGCCCAAAGCAAAATCACTTTCCAGGCATAGGCTGCCCTTTTGGATGCAACTTTATGACCAAAAAAAAAAAAAACCAAACTAAAACACTGAGACATCATCGAAAACTGGAAAATAAAAAAAGTAGCAGGAATTTCCCCACCAGAGCCATCGCCGTGTTTGTGTGCATGGCCTTATATTATCCCTGTGCCCGAAGCCAGTGGGTGCTACAGCTTTCCATGGGCCTTCCCCCTCAGCCTGCACAAGGAAGCTGATGCTCTCCTTGCTGTGGCCAAGCCCACCCAAGCCCTGGCCAGTCAGTGCCATGGCTTTACCTGTGTCTGGGCATGGTTTGCCCCAGGCTGTGACACTTTTCTTCCCATCAGAGTCTCATTTTGCTTCTCCCCTGTGGCAGGGGCAGCTCAACCAGGGGGGGCTGTCCCATCTCCGCCAACTGAGCAGGAAGGAGAGTGCCAACCATCACCCAAACTCACCCTCCACCCAAAAAGTCGCAGACACGTCTCCTTCAGACCCTATTTCTCCCCCTACAAGCTGCATGGCACCCCCTGCTCCCCCAGAGCCGTGGGACACAGACCTGCACCAGGTCGGGGGTGAGGCGCTTGGCCCGCAGCCACTTCTGGAAGCGCTGTGTGCGGCGCAGGGCGCGCTCCAGGCTGCAGGTCTTGGTCTTGAGCAGGGAGGTGCAGATGCGCTTGTCGGCCCGGTCGTGCTGGTACTTGGAGGCCAGCCGGGTGATGTCGACCAGCCGCCAGCTCTTGGCATCGTCGGTGTAGTTGCCCGAGTAGCTGAGCAGGTAGCTGGGGGGCAGCTTTAAATGAGAAGAAAGCCAGGTGTCAAACCTGCCAAACCAAAACGAGAGCCCCACGGAGAGCGGGTTAACAAGCCACAGGGACACCCACGCAGCGCCCGCCCCGATGAGTTCCTCCACCTCGTGCTGACCCCAGGGGCTTTCTGCCATCACAGAAACACAGAACGTTCCTAGCTGGAAGGGACCCACAGGGATCATCGAGTCTAGCTCCTAAAGAAAACAGCCCACACAGGGATCAAACCCATGAATTTGGTGCTTTTAGCACCAAGCTCCAACCGAGCTAATGTCAGGGTCATCATGCGACCCAGGCTGAGTGACCCTGGGTGGGTGGTCCCAGACACCAGGGTGAGGTGAGCAGGATGAAACCATCAGCTGAGGAAACATGCTTTGGAAAATATATCCTTCTTTGCTTCCCACATAAACCATCGCAGGTAATGAACACCATCCCTTGTCACAAGCAGTGCCAATGGAGCGAGGGCTAAAACACCCAAAGGGGGTTTTCTTGGGGCTATGTAGAGAGAAGGAGGAGAGGGAGAGGGTGCAGGGTTTTGGTTCGTGAAGAACCCCTGGTGCTTTTAAATTTCCTTAACCCTAGAGATAGGATCCCAAAAACGGAGTCCTCAACAGTTAAAGGGACCCTCCTGACAATAAAATCTCCTGACAATAAATGTGCTTGGGAATATCGACATGAACTTTTGTTTTTAGGTGGTGGCTTTACTCAGTACTGAGGTCAACATGTCTCCTCTAACACTGCTGATGGTATTTCAGCAGGAGGGATGAGTGACCTTCCCAGCAGCAGCAGAGTTTGGGGTGCGCTGGGGGGACGGGGTACGTGTGCCCTGGGCGTGCAGCACCACTGTAGCCATGGAGATCTTGCACTAATTTTCTCCCCCTACACAGGCACAGGAGGGGAGCATATGGGCTGGGTAATTAGGTAATTTTTTTTTTTTTTTTTTTTTTTTTGTTTCAGCAGCCCCCTCAGCCCTGCCCACACACGCGTCGCACATGCCGGAGCTGAGGAGTGTGGTGCCTTCTCTGTAAGTGTGTCTGTAACCTGCTCTTGGAAAGAGGCTGAACTCTGACCTTTGGTTTGGCCAAGGTTCTGCAATCGCTGCCCCTGAAACCTCCTGTCCCAACCTCCCTGCCCAAGTGTGTAAGAGAGCACGTCCCAATTTATTCTCACCATAAATTAGAGCTGGTAGCTGAGAAGTGAAACAGGAGAGGCAAGAGGTTCCCTGCAGGATTAGCTATCTGGAGTTAGATGAAAAGACGTTAACAAATCTGAAAGCTGAAGCTGGTCTGTCGTTTCAACTTCCAGATGGGAAATTGGCACGGAGAAGTTTTGGGGGGATTAATTTCCTCTGATTTCAGGCAAACAACTGACTCGGCGATGCAGACCAGCATCAGAGGCTGATCTACCTCCTCCTCCAAGATCCCTCTTGAAGGCAGCACCTCACTCTCCTTCTCCACCACAGACCCTGTGCAGCTCATCTCCGGGGCAAACAAAGGTGCCCAAGAGGGGAAAAACTGTGGTGCTTGCCTTCATTTAACATTCAGCTCTATTCCTGTGCCTCCTTCCAAAAATTTACCATGGAAATACAGGCTGACCAGAAGTGAGGGAGCCCTGACCCTCATGTGAACACATTGATGGGTTCCAGTATTTCGGTCCTTTGGGTGTTTTGCCCAGTATGAAATTGAAGCTTCCTTGAGATTATGGCACCTGACATGAAGGGAAAAGCTTTGTTTGGGTTTGGGCAGGTTTTCCTGGTCTGGTTTTGAGCTAGGACTAAAGAGCAGAGAATATTTGCTGTGCCTCACTGTGATTTGCTGGGCATCAGGACCCCTCCCAGCGCCTAATCTGCAAAGCGGGCACAGCGTGCCAGGCACTCCAGGGAGGAGATGGCAATGGGCTGGGCTGGGTTTCTCTTTCTTTCTTTACTTCTTTTTTTTATTAATTATTTTTTTTATTATTTTTTCTAAGTTAAGCACAAATATGCCCTGTGATTTGGCTCAAACCTGTGTGTTCAGGGGAGCTCACATCAGGCAGATAGCAGGAAAGTGCCACCTCCTGTGTGTGAGCAGCGCATGGATGTGTGAAATCCAGGGCTGAGTGATAATTTGAGGGTGGATGGAGCGACTTCCTCTGCAGAGCTCTTGGGGGAGAGCCACACAGGCCTGGGAACCCGGCATGGGCTGCAGCAAGTCTGTATTTGGCATAATTTCTGGGCAGCACAGCGCTGACCTGGCACACTTGTTAGATACTTTCAAGATTCATCATCAAGTTGTGCTGTAACAACAACTCACTTCTCGTATGAAGCTGAGGGCCTGAATGTGCTTTAATTAAGACTTTCAGTAAGATCTGTGTGAATATGTGAGTCACAGATTACAGGTTTTAGATCAATCCAGAATTAAATTCTGAAGAAATTCAAACTTATTTTTTTTTTTTTTTTTTTTTTTTTTTTTTCCCTGAATGAACTATTTTGTTTCGGCCAAAATAATTTTGCTTGCATTTGGAATTTTACATTTTGAAAAAAATTAAGTCTTAAAACAAAAAAATAAAGAAATACCATATAAACACTCATAAAATCTAAGCATTCCAGCTTTTGCAGACTTCTTTCCCATTATTTTTGGCCAAAGCTCATCACCAGCATCAGCACAAGTCTGTGAATAGTTTTGGTCAGCTCAGTTTCGCAGTGTTTTGAAAGTCTAGTATTTTACAGAAACTTTCACTGTTCTCTGCTCTTGGTGCAGTTGGTAGGCAGGCTTGGTGTTCTCATTTACAGATGGATAAAGTTGGGCAAAGATAAGGGAAGTAAAGAACATTAGAGCACAAGATGAGTCACCAGCCGTTCTGGGAACAAAACCCACATCTTCTTACTGTGAAAGGCATGTCACAGCTCCCAAAAAATGATGGAGAATTAATGAAGCATGTTCTAATGTGAATTAACAGAGAGAAGCACCAAGTACCCTCCACCTTTGTGAACATGTGAAAAGGTACATGAGGGCTGATCAAAGAGCGTACGTGCCACTGAAATTTCCCCTGCTTAACCTCCCACTTGCCAAAAAAATCCCAGTTTTTCAAGAAATCAAGTGGGACAACAAGTTTTACCCCTGCAGAGGAAAGCCTGAAGCTGAGTGACTGCTCAGGAGAACATTTTCAAGTTTCCAAAGTGCTCAGAGCGTAACTGCACGTTATCGCTTATTTGCATTCTGCGCGGCTGGTGGGGAGCCAACTGCGGGCTGGCTGGAGAGGGAAAAAGTCTTTGGCTTAGGAAGTCCCTCTGCCTTCCCTGAGGCAGAAGCATCGTGCCCCCACGTTTGTGGCTCTGCGCTGCTGGCCCCATCGGGACCCTCTGCACACCTGCACCCCTTTCCCGCCGCCCCCAGAGGAAAGCCAGCGCGGGGGCCTCCTGCCTTCGCTCACGTAGCACCTTTTTCCCCACACCTCGGTGCACATGCAGCTGGCCAGCAGCCAGCCAGAGGCAGTTGCTCGCTGCAGAAGGCTCCTGCTATTTTTGGAGGGCTGAAGGAAGCTGCACCGCCCCAGCCTCCCAAGTGACTGGGCAGGAGTAACCGAACGGGTGTGCGTGTGGAACCTGCTTTGTACCTGGCAGCAGGTCCCTAAAATCCCTGCACAGGTGAGCGGCAAAGGGATCCACAGCAGGCTGGGACACGGAGCAGGAGCTGGCTCCTGTGCCATCCTGCTGCAGGGAATAAAATACAGAGCAGCCCACACCCCAAATTCACTCCCACCTCCTGCAGATCCACACCAGCTCCTGTCAGCCAGCCCAGCAGTCCAGGCTGGGCTGGGAGAAATCCAGCACTGCTGGTCTGGGCCTTCTTGGTGCCTCTGCACCTCACTTACTGCTCGTTCTAGCATTGAGGAGACGGAAAGCCAAAGGATTTTCCCAGCCATCCATGGCTGGGCCCCCTGATGTGCCATGGCAAAGGGATGCTCTGGCTTAGCAAGACCACAAGCTGCCTTTTCACAGTGGCAGCAAGGGAAGGATGGATGTTCAGTATTACAGGTCCATCCCAGACAAACCATTATGGTTTTACTATGCTACATTTTATAGGATAGTTTAAGATAAAAATGGTGATTTGTCTAATACTATACTACTTACATTATAGCATTAAAAATACAATTTTACTATAATAATTTCTTCTCCCCCAGGCTTTTATATCTATAAAAGAAAGTGCATATGGCTCTATAAATCATATCAGACCCAATAAACCCTTCCTCTGCCAAGCGCTGCCTTTAACTTTCTCCTCAAACACAACTGGCAACATTTTCCTTGTTGTTGTCAGACACACTCTGGTTTTGAGCCTAAAACTGATTGGATTGGTCTGATGACCACTTGGACAGTGTTATGTCTCATCGTCATCATCGAGGCAGATGCAATTTCTGCCTCTGCCTTCAAGTTCTCACAGAAAACTCCCCAAAGTGCACCAATAATTTAGCCACATCTATTTTTGAGCGTGTGGGTAGCTTGATGTGCAGAAGCCCTCATGCCTCAGGCAGGTTTAGATCGCTTTTGATCTTAGTTGATACGCACGTGAAATTCTGCACATTCGTGTTGTTGCACCTGGTACAAAATTATATAGCATGTTTATATGTTTGTAGTTAAGATACTCAGTTTGGAGCATACAAAACTAAACCCCCTTTGCCTTTAATCAGTTGCTGATAACAAAATATCGCCAGTAAATCTAAACAAGCTGATTTCTTCCTCCCCTCTTTCCTTCCCTCATCGCTGCTTTGAATTGTTTTAGAGCCACTCTCTAGGCAGAAATTTGTGCCTTTTACTCCTGCTTTCAAATTACAATTCAGGCCTGAGGTTAGATCATGTTTGAGTTGCTTTAAAAGAAAAGAGCAGTTTATAGACATTAATTAAAATACTAAGCGCTGTGAAGGCAACCAGATGCTAAGTTGCTCTTTGCATTGTCATTCATGAAAGTATTTGGAAATTCTAACAGGCAACTTTCAAATTACTATGCAGAATGCCTTAAAAATTACTCTGCTGAGTTTCTGACCTTATTTCTTCTTTAAAGAACTTCTTGCATATGGATGTTCCAATGCAGGCGTTGCATTTATCAAGTCCCAGGAAAGTCCGGCCAAAGCTGTAGCTGGGTTTGACGTGGGGCACAGATGGAGAAGCTGTTGCTGCCGTGGAAGGGCTACAGCTCAGAGCCAAAACCAGGAGCAGCATCAATGGGTCTGCAACTCTGGAGCAAAGGCAACATATCCAGCGCCCCATCTACAGGAGTGAAGAGCTCTGCCTTTTGCAAGTTATCCCTCTCTACGCTTTCGGTCCCTTTTTGATGACTTCAGCCTGCAGTGGAGAGCCCCGAGACACGGCAAGACACTCTGGGTGCAGGAGACCCCTCCGCAGTCCCCATCCTGCCAGCTGGTCACCGGCTCTATTGGCTTGAGGTTTGGGTGGGAAAGATATTATGTAGGGTGGGGAGAAGGAAATACATGGAGGATGCAGATAACTTGGGTTGCCACGGTTACCTTTCCTTTACTTGGTGCAGCTGCTTTGGGCCCTGCTGACCCTCCCATCAGCCGACTTGGAAAACAACATGAAGGAGTGCTCATCTGCACTTGCTGCAGACAAATGAAGGATATCCTGTCGCTGGAGCAAAGGGCATGTGCCGGACACATAGTAAAAATTGATCAGGGAGGAGTAATAGCGTGGTAGAAATGCACATTTTACCAGAAGCCAGACCCTTGGTGTTGCTTTATTCCTGGAGATTTCCGATGGGGCACAGCTTGACTTCTTGGATGCTTTCTTGGCTCAGTTTGCCCTCCTCTCAGAAGCCCTGAAAAGGTTGTCAGGTGGAATCATGGCTGTTCTCTTTCTTGAGAATACCATTGTTTAGCAGCAATTGCACCACAGTGTTTCATGCCACAGAAAGCAGGATAGCCTGAAGCTTTCCAAAACTCCCAGCTGACTTAACAGCCTGGCCTCTAAGCCCCTCTTGGAAAATGGAGATTTTCAGTGTGCTTTGAATGCCTTTTCCTGATGGTAGTGGCACAGGAAAGAAGCCAGGGAAAAGAATGGGGACTAACTCAGGAGCATGTTAGAGGTTTCAAATAGAAATCACTGTGATCACATCCAAAAGCTGTTCTCATTAGGTCATAGACTTGGAAGTGACTAAAACTGCTGGATACCCATCCTGGCTGGGATGCTGGGGACAGGACGACGCCTTTCCTGGGACAGGAGCTCTGGGATGCAGGCATGTGCCCTGGCAGGCTGCTGCTCAAGGCCAGGAAAGCACACCTTGAAGGAGCAAGTGGTACCCTGGCCCCAGGCAGCACATGTGTTGCTGTGGTGGCACCAGACTTTGGTCCTCTCCATCATGTTTTGATTGACACAGGAGGCTCTCCTGGGCCATATCTCACCATGGGAGCAGACTGAGGCTTTGGAGGCTTCTCATCCCCACCTGGAATACTCCCACCACATGGAAAAGCCATTTCCTATCACATTTTTAATGGAAAAAAAAAGGGTGCACTGTAGCCTTTATTATCCCCTCCAGTGTTTAACCACAGCCTGCTGGGACTAAGGGGCGTAAAAGCCTCAGGGGTGCCTGTTGGACTCTGTCATTGTCCCTTGCTTTCTGGAGGGGCTGCTGGAGGAGGGCGATCCTAACAGGGCAAGGCAGCTCTTTAAAGCACAGATGCTCATTAGTTGTGGCACTTGGGGCATCAGGGGTCTCTCCTTGGCTCCGTACCCTTGTGGGAGGTTGTTTTGCCTCCTGTTGTGTCCCTGTGCACAAAATGGAGATAGTGACATTTAGAGTTTGTCTACAGGGTGCAGCACAGACAGAGGTGGATAACAAGCCCTGCTGAGAGGGAAGAGGGATGTAACAAACCCTGGGGAAGCTGCAAATGAGAGGGGATGGGTGGTGCTAATATGCCAGCAAGTGCATTCAGCTCACAGCTCTGCATTGTGCCATGGTCACATTTGGCCTTGTATTCCATTATAAAATATGTTGGTGGAAGGAGACACACCAGATCTAAACACTAGGATTAGCTATTTCCCACTCCCAGAAGTTTATCCCTGTCTTTTCCTATTGCCGGTACATTGTTCCTCTCCCCTCTGCAGGAATCAGCCCTGCCCATGGTTTCCTGCCAGTAGCTCTGCAACATTGTCCATGCTCACATCGCTCCCTGCCCAGCTCTTCCCCGGATAGCACCAAAAATTCCACACCAGCAATCTGTCTTTGTCTTCATTACATAACATATAAAATATACATCCTTCAGTTTCTTTACTAATTTAATTGCCTGCCTTCTGTCCTCAATTCTCTGTTGTAATTTTAGGAGCAGAGATCCAAGCTCCCGTCTCCTGCTGCCTCATCCTCCCCTGCCCCATGGAAACAGAAGGGCTTCAGCCCCTGGGGATGGTAACTGGGCCTTTCTCATGGCAAACCCCGTGCTCTGGCACAAAAAGCACTACATGGGTAGCAGGGTTTCTGTGCTATTAATGATGCCTCAATGGCGATGTTGTTCTTGCACTTCTGTGTAGTTTGGGCACGTGTAAAGTAATGTTTATCTCTCCCCAGGAACAGCGTGTGTAATTAAGTTTTCTTACAGTGTATCACACCTGCATCACCTTGAAGTGTTTATAAAAGCAACTTTTTATTCAAAGAGTGGGAGCTCCTCCATCATATCCACCTCAAGTTTACTGTTGGCATTTGCACTTGCCCCCAGGGTCTGGGCCCCCTCCTTCCCTCAAACATTTTTGTCAGGCTGGGCAGTCCCTGAGCACAGGTGATGTGTGTAGGAAACACTCATTCATCTCACAGCACTGAAAACCAAAGCTTAAAAATAAGTACACGTAGGTCTGCACTAGCCCAAAGTGACAGGAAAGAAACCCCAGCTTGCTGTGTGTTGAAAGCAGCCTCTCTTTGAACGAGGTGGTTCAGCAGGTAATGTCAAAGCTGTATTTGTTTTCCTTTCCTTCTGGTGGTATTGTGGCCAGGTGGTGAACAACCAGATCTGTAGAAGCCTTGTAGATCTTCTCCTTGTGCCAGGTGGGATTTTTGAGGGCAGTGGTCACGGGGGTGTCTGCTGGTGCTGCCATTGGGTTGGCCCTAATGATCCCAGGGGACCTTCACAAACACAAACCTTGTAACAAGACACTTCTATGCAACACCACTGACCATGTGAGTACATGGAGCCAGTGGCCCTTACAGAAAAGCCTAGCTGGTTTCTAGAAATTATAATTACTAAAAATTTCTGATATTAATCAATATGCTTGTTCTACCCTACCAAAGTCAGACCACTGGAGCCTCTGGGTCCCAGAAATGCCCGGTCTCTGCAGAGCTCCATGGCTGTGGGTTTGGATGGGTATAGCTGTGATCTTTGACTGCTCATCGAGGTGGGAGAGGACCTGCCCTCCTGTGCTGCTGGCTCTGGAGGAGATGAGGGGAGCACAGGCTGATTTTTCTGGATTATTCATGGGATGAAATATACCTATTACTTAACCTACCTCCCATTTCGCACCCAATCCAGCTGTTCCCCATTGACTCTTTCCACCTCAGTCCCTTGCCCACCTGCCCTGAACAATGCCACTTGCCCACAGGGGTGGGTTTCATGTCATCAAAGCCTTATAGATGCCCTCTCCCCATCTCACTAGTGCTGCTGGCTGGCTCAGCCTGAGCAAAATGTGGTGCCAGTTCCATGCTCTGGGTCTAACTGGGACACTGAAAATGGCTGTGCAGACCAGGAGCCCTTTTTAATTAGCTTAATTTAACGTAGCCCTTTAATTTTGGGTAATCACCAGTAAGTATTTCAGAACAGCCCAGATGCAGAGGAGCAGAAGGTGCAAGTGTTGCTGCTCCTCAGCTGGCATTGCCACCAGGATCCTCGTTGCTACTGACCAGCTTCTGCTCACAGGGATCTTGCTGCTTGGCCATCCTAAACGGCAGGTTTTCGGTGTCACATCATCTCATCTTCCTCTTCAGCACAGGTTTGCTGCTGCAAAAGAGCCTTCTCAGCAAGTGTGAGGTTGCTGAGCAACAGGACATTGCCAGGCGGGTTGAGGGGGGGCTGCATCTCACTGCCACGCACAGAAAGGAAACAATAGACAGGAAAAATCAAAGTTTTACTGGAAGAGGAGAGGCTCCTGCTCTTCCTGAGGTCCTCGGTAAGCCCTGCCTGGGTCTTGCTGCCTGCAGGGCCCGGATAAGACCTTGGCTGCCACACAGAGCGGCTTCGCAGGACAGGGTGGAAGTCAGCTCAGGGTGTGGTGCAACACGATTATTCTTAATAGTATTTTTCATTAATCACATCCAACATAATCATTAAGCTATTGCCAAGTAACCAGTACAGACTTGATATCAAACTACTTACCACGTCAATCCCAGTTCAGGCTGGATGTGTGGATTAATAGTTGGAGCAGCTTGACACATTTTCAATTCCTTCAGAATGAAAAATGTGTCTTTTTGGATGCGACAAAACTCGCAGCACTTGGGAGGATGCGATCACTTCCTTTTTCTCTGTTTGCCTCCCGATTGCATGACTATGAAAGAAACATCTGTTTTGAAGTGATCTGCAACAGAAAATTTTTGTTCCAGTTGGATTTGTAATGGACAACTTCTGTTACACGCTCTTATTCTCCCCACTCTGTTTCTCTCTCTTTTTCTCTTGCTGGAAGATGATAGGGAAAGGAAGAGGAGGAGGAAAAAAATCAAGCAGACAAACCCCACTGCCCAGACTACAAATACAGACAGAAAATGGGGGCACTGAGGTGTGGGTGGTGTGAAACACCACAGCTGAGCTGGCAGAGCATGTTTGCACTTCAATTCACTTCGAGAAGGTTTGACGTTGTGTGTGTATGGATTTTTCTGCATCTTGAATCAATGAAAATACTAAAACAGTGATAAAAATGTGGCACTTGTTTTTGTCTCGCCAGGAAATAGTTCCTATTGTTTGATGAGCTTGGATGTAATTAATCTGAAGCATCAATAATGTAGTACATTAATTATATAAAAATAGGTATTGTTCTGTATCTGTGGTATTTTTTGATTCTCCCTGACTCCATTCTTCTGCTGCAGAAGTGGAAACCTGTTGTTCCTCTGGAAATCTCTGCCTTCGCGTACTGGTAGGCAGATGGAAGAAAAAAACAGTGAGAAGAAAAGCTTCAGGCACTGTGGCCAGCAGATAAGGCCAGTTCTAGTTTGTGAGAGGCTGAAATGTCAGTACAAAAGGCCACCCAATGTTATCAGCTACTGTGGTGTCTGCAGCATTTACAGGAGACAGTGCCAAGCGGCAAAAAGTGCGGAAGAGGATCCAGGATTTTGGTGCATCAGTATCCACAGACAGAAAATGAGATACAGGAACTTGAGCCTAAGGGAAAAATGATGGGAAAAAGAAAATTGGCTGCACACCAGAATGGGG